GAGAACCCGGAGAACATGCAAACTCCACGCAGAAAGATTCCGGTGCCCCCACCGGGACGCGAACCGCTGCGAGGCAACAGTGCTAACCAACTGCGCCACCTTGCACCAAACCAATATAAATATATCTTTTAATACTTTTGTTCATTTTTCTGCTAATATCTACGTACTATTTACGCTTTTTTTTTTTTTGCTTGCAATGGAGTATTGGTACGTTGGTGTATTGGTGCTTTTACTTAAGTAAAGAATCCTAATAGGCCTCCCAGATAACAAGTAGTTTCAATTTACATCTGACTGAGAGGTTGTTTGAGTTTTCTCCACAAGATGGCATGACATCTGCAGTTTCACAGACAAACCCTGCAGCAGTCTTGTGCTGACTTGTAAATTTGCAGTCATTTGATCTTTTTATTTTGTTTCAGTGGCTCCAACTTTGACTCAGTCTATTATAATGTCCCATAAAGATAATTGCATCAGGACGTTTATAGAGCGCTGTTGTATTTTCATTCAGTGTGACGCTGTCATGTGGTCAGAAGGGATGGCTGGCAGCCAAATGCGCAGCAGTGAAATCATGAAATCAACTCTGACATTGCTTTTATGGTTATTTTCTCCACACCAAATTGCAGTGATTTGAAGTCTGACCTGTTCATCGGGGACTGAATGAGATGTATTTATTTCTATGGTCCGTTTTATCCGAAGAGAGACATGGCAAAGATTGAAGTTTAAAAGGACTTTACTCCGTGTTTATACAGAAAATGTATTCGTCTGTATATGCAAATATTTTCTCTGAGACGGTTTTCAGTGACTTTAACTTGTGAGGCTCATGGTAGAGTCTGCAAACTTCACATGGATGCTATTTAAGAAGTTATATGTCAGTTAGCTTTAGTTTTCTTGCTGTGTGTGAGTCCTGATGTTGTGAGCAAACGGGACGGTGTTCTTGTCAATCTTGTGCCCAAACAATGTTTTAAACAGCTTTCAAGTACACACACTTTTATGTATGGATGTGCCAACTTGATTGCCATTCATTTTGAGAGGAAAGTGAAAAACAGCAGGCACAACTGATCAAACAAAGTGGCAGAATTAAGGCAGTTATCACAAAAACAAATTGACTGTCCGGATTATAACACGTTTTGCATGTCACAGAAATTGGTAAAAAAAAATGAGCCTATATGCATGACCGCAGCGGGCTGGAGACGCACAATTACAGGGAAACAAATTAAAAGCTTCTCTCATCCTAGCATACCACCATTGCAGCATAATTACTGTCAGCACTTTTGCAAAAAAGATGCAGCCAAAGAACATGACATTCCTTGGCTCAGCATATAATGTTCTTCTCGTCGGTCTTGCTCTTAGTAGTTTATAGCAATGCCAGGCCGAATGTGCTATATGTTCCAAAGCACATTGTTGGTTTTTGGTTTATAGCGTTCACTGCAATGTCCTGAACCTATATTACATAACAGGAGAGTGGACACAATGTGACATACTGAGCATCGCATTCCGGTCTGTTACAGCAGCCCTGCAATTTATGTGCTTTTGCATTGTGTGACATAATTTGTGATTATAATCTTATAAATTTGCGAGAAGGGTTCTGCGGTTGTCCGCTGGCTGAAAAAAGCTATAACCTGATGTGACCTGTGACAAAGTGGTAATATGAAAAGTCATTTTTCACATTTACATTGCCTTAATTCACAGAGATGAAATGAGCATTTGTTCAGCATTATTACCTCTGTGTTCTGTCTGTGCTGTTGGTACAAACAGGCTGCGGGCCTTTTTGGTTCAAAGTGCCACTTGAGTGCCACTAGGATCCATTTAAAAAGCACTTCATCCTCTTAAAACAACTTTTTCTTCCTTTTCTCATCATCTCTGTCCTTCATGAACTCGTTGCCCAGTTCTGGCAGACAGCAGCATTATGGCCTTAACACGGTGGTTTCTCGTCTGAAGCTTGTTTTAAGTGTTTAAAAAGAAAACAGAAAAGCTGAGATGGCAGGAGTAAAATGAAATGTTTACCGTTTTTTTTTTTTTTTTTAAAGTAGGCTAAACAAACGTTAACTCATCCACTGACTGATAAATACATTGATCTGGACCAAAACGTACCGTTTTCAGTGAGATAAGAGGAAAATAAAACACGTCCAATCCAGCTGTGATACACAATAAAGGAAACCCCGCATTTCTGGTGTGCTGAAATAAATGAAAACTGCTTGCCAAGAGTTGTCTGTATAGAGGTTACAGGGCTACGTTTGAGGAAGCCAAGCTTGCTAATGCAGCTACTTGAATGCAACCCATTTTCTGAGGTTGCTCAGGTAACAAACCCATTTGTGGTCATACTTTTGTAGCAGAAAATGACAAGCTTCCCGTCTGAGGACATGACTTTCTCCCATCTGTCTCACAGGCTTGTGGTCCCACACCTAAGGTCTACAGATGGACTCTTCGTTGATAGAGAGTTGGTTCTATCCACTGCATTTGACACACAGACCAGCATTTTTTTTTAAATATTAAAATCGGACTTATTTTAGACACATATTTTAATTCATTATTTTGTCTCTATGGGTAGCGCTGGTCGAAGAAATAAGTTGCCAAAATTGCTGACATTTACAATCAAGGTGCAAAATTTCTGGTTTTGACAATAAAAAGAGAGCATTAAACAGTCTAACGACAGTGTAAAAATACACCTAATAATAAGTATATAGGAGTGCAGGATTATTGATTTTAATGCGTTGACTTCCTGGAGCGTGGCAGTCAACAGTCCAGGTCACGATAAGATAAGATTTACTGGAAAGTTACCTGAAAGTTCAACACTTTTTTTTGGAATTTAAAGTTTGTAGGCTTTTCTCCTGGACTCATGACCTCAGTCTTTTCCAGGGAAAGACTCTGCCTTGAGGCAGTCATTTTATGGTTTTCTGATGAAAAATGAAAGCAGCCCAAATCCTGATGACGATTACTTCAGTTCACAGCCATTTCACCAAAATAGGGTGAGGCAAGAATGATGCATCGTGCGTCATCAGAGGTAGACTTTTTTTTTCTTTCTGTTTTACTTAAGTAAAAATAACAAAAGCACTACATAGAAATACTAAAATAAAAGCCCTGCATTAAAAATTTGACTTGAGTAAAAGTACCAAAGCACTGGCATTAATAAAGATTTACAATCCGAAAAATAAAATGCCACATTTCACAATAATGGTTTTAGATTTTAATTTATTTAAGTTGAATGTGAGGCAGATTTTGTTTGCTTTATGTGCTGCTGGATAGCTCGTCCTGCAATAATACATCCTTTCTGTTATTGTATGTTTTGTATAAATAACCTAATTTGCATAATAATTCAAGCAATAAAATAAAGGTCATGGTGTAAAAAAAAAGTGCAATATTTGCCTCAGAAATGTAATGAAGAAGAAAAAAGTTATAAAAGAATGGAACTACGCACTTGAGTAAATCTAAGTTACTTACAACACAGTGATCTATATAGAAAGTATAGTATTTGTGCTTCTGGGGAAAAACATGTGGAAGGAAATTGATTTCTGGTGACTTCATACACTCTTCTAAGTAAAAATCATGTTACCTCTTTGTCACCTGTGACATGTAGTCTGCTCTGATAAAGGCTTGTAAGTGTTTATCTTATCTGCCTCAAAGACAGTACAAACATGATTAAACTTGTTCATCCAAATGTCATCACTGATAACAAAAAATCCTGAATAAGTAAAAATCGCCTCTAACTACAGGATCTTCAGTTTGCAAACCTTTTTTCTCAGAATGGAAACACTGCAGAATTGTGATTGCAATACCAGAAAAAAATAAAGAAGTGAGAAGATTTTTTTTTTTTTTTTTTTTTTTGCTGATCATGTGAAAGAAGTTTCCCCCCCCTGTCAATCAGTAATTCCTTTTGTTTTGGTGGCTGTACATCTCTCTCCCTCCCTTTCGTCCTCTCTCCTCATTGTGATTCGTCTCTCTCTCCCTCCTTTATTTGCTGTGGGACTCCCCCCTCCCCCTCTCGCCTGCGCCTCAAAAGCGCGATCCATGGTGCGAAGCCTCCTTTTCTGCGTTTTCCTTCAGGATGGCATTCTTCACATATCTTCGCTCTGTTAAGAATCCGCTTATCCTCTTCTCGACTCCGTGTCTTCTTCTTCCACTGCCTTTGGTCATCGGGACACCGGTATGTAATTTACCTAAATGGAATAAAGTTGGGTTAAAACTTTGCCACTGCGAAAATTTAGAATTAAACATAACTGTAATATTTGCTCAAGAAATGATATTTTTTTAAGCCACATTTCTTCCACTAAGAACCATATAATTATATGTTTTAATTAGGGGAAACATCTCGTACTTATATTGCGCATGAATTGCAGTTTTAACACTTGACCGAACCAAATTACGCGCAATTTACGCACGCCATAGACATCTATACCCATAAACGCGAGATGACAGGAGGTTTGCACCTGTTGATGCGGCTCACAAGTGCACAGCGAAAATGCATGAGAGCAGTTCGGTGCTGCCTGATGCATCCTGAAGTCCTGTTATTTTAACTGTTAACATGAAGGGTCATGTCCAGCGTGGGAACACACGGTCTCAGGGGTCCACATTGTTACCTCTACATGCGACATACGCACACAGGCTGCAAGCATGTTATGATAAGGACACAATGCAAAGCAGGCATGCAGAGGTACGTGTCATATGAACAGAAGCATCAATCTGCTTTGTTTAAAAAAAAAAAAAAAAAGAGTAAAAGTTCGTCAAAGTGGAGCAGTAAAACATGACAAATTGGAATGTAATATTACTATAATGACAATACAAGGAGTGTTTCCTGAATCAGCTGATCAGAAACAATAGGACACTTACTTTCACCCTTTGGACCATTATAGCACCACATAAAAAGTTATACAACTTTCATAAAAGGGAAATGAACCTTAACATAAATCCAAAGTGTGTAGAGGTGAAAACCTGAGTCTTTATTTATTTATTTATTTATTTATTTATTTTGAATCTAGGAATCAGAATGTGCCTATGTGATCATCCTGATGGCGGTGTACTGGTGCACCGAGGTCTTGCCACTGGCTGTGACTGCTCTGCTCCCAGCTCTCCTTTTCCCCCTGTTTGGCATCATGCAGTCCAAAGATGTAAGTAAAGTTCCTGCCACGGTGGGAGCAATTTGAAAATTCTGCCTGCATGCATCTAACTCTGCTTGGTCCTGCTGTCTCAGGTGTGCATGCAGTACCTGAAGGACACCAACTTGCTGTTTGTGGGAGGACTGATGGTCGCTGTAGCCGTGGAACACTGGAATCTGCACAAGCGCATCGCCTTGAGGGTGCTGCTCCTCGTTGGTGTTCGTCCAGCGCTGTAAGTGGCTCAGCTTCACACATCCAGTCGTCAACACTTCTTGCCTTATCTAATCAGCTCTGTTATCTAAAGTACCTATAACTGATAAAGTAATCAACGTTCAAGGGTTTCATCGTCATAAAACACAGTTTTTGCCTTTTGTTGTTATTGATGCCTTCTTCTAATCCAAGGCCACTTACAGTTCTTTCTTTTTTTTTTTTTTTCAATCTCCCTGACAGTTTGATGTTGGGTTTCATGGGTGTGACGGCGTTCTTGTCCATGTGGATCAGCAACACGGCTACCACAGCCATGATGGTGCCTATTGTCCAGGCAGTGCTGGAGCAGCTCAACAACACCGAGGCTGAAATCCCTCAAATCCTCAGCACGGATGAGCAGGTCCAGACATCAGAGCCTGACAGCAAACCTCCTCTGCAGACAGAGAAACAGACTGAGGGACAAGGTGAGGTCTTGTCAAGTACAATGTTCTACCTGTTTGGCCAAGAAAAAAAAAGAAAAAAACACGAACATATGCAGCATTGTAAGCTGTTCCTGCTTGCCGCTTGTAGCTCTTTTCATCCCCTGCTCTTTGTTCCAGTGGTGGTGACTTTCTTGGATGCCACAGTGGAGGCTGCCAGGCATAAGGAGGCAGCAGAAAGGCGGAAAATGTGCAAAGGGATGACCCTGTGTGTTTGTTACGCTGCCAGCATCGGGGGCACCGCCACTCTGACAGGAACCGGCCCCAATCTGGTGCTCAAGGGTCAAATGAATCAGTGAGCGTTTTGTTGAATCAAATTCCAGTGTATCATTCCATTTATACAATCTTGGTTCTTAATATTTTTTCCTCTCTGTTGTCATTTCCAATAGATTGTTTCCAGAAAACGGGGACGTGATTAACTTTGCCTCCTGGTTCGGCTTTGCCTTCCCCAACATGATCCTCATGCTCACGCTGGCCTGGCTTTGGCTGCAGTTTGTCTTCATGGGATTCAAGTGAGTTTTGTGACGGCTAAAGCCTAATTATAGTGACAGAGACTTGAATGAACATCAAGAAACTTTTTACCGCATCAACAGTGTGATCGAGTGCAGAGGTGACACGGAGATTTTGTTTTTGTTCCCGCGTGATCCCTCTAGCTTTAAGAAGACTTGGGGCTGCGGGGCTGTGAAGACAGAGAAGGACATCGCTGCCTACAATGTGATCCGTGAGCAGCACCGTCTGCTGGGGCCGATGTCCTTCGGAGAGATCAGCGTCCTGGGTCTCTTCATTCTGCTGGTGGTGGGGTGGTTTTCGAGGGATCCCGGATTTGTCAGCGGATGGGCCACAGAGCTCTTCAACTCCAAAGCAGAGTTTGTAGACACACGTTTCTGTTTCTAATTGCAACACCAAGTTTTCAACTCTGCATTACTTTAAAAAAAAAAAAAAAAAACCCATGTAATTGCATTTTCTTCATCTCTCCACTTCTCAGGTATGTGACAGATGCAACGGTAGCAATCTTCGTTGCCGTCCTTCTCTTCGTTCTGCCCTCTAAACCCCCACGTTTCTGTTCATGGAGGAATCAAGGTTTCGACTTAGGTGAGCCATCATTCTAAAAGAGTATACACAATGTGTCCCACTCTTACATCCGAGGCTTGAAAGGAGACGACTGGGCAATGATTTAACTCTGATGTTTAATTTATTGGCTCTGTAGCACCTCATCAAAGCGCTGGCCCAACGCCACCTCTCCTCACCTGGAAAGTTGCCCAAAAAAAGTTACCGTGGGGTATTGTGCTTCTTCTTGGAGGAGGTTTTGCTCTGGCCAAGGGCAGTGAAGTAAGTGGCAACGACAGCAGTAAGGCTGATTTATGCGCTGTCACACAATATGGTCAGAATAACAATGTCAGGGATTTTACAGTGATTCACAAGAACAATGCGTGTGTGTGTAATCCATTGTTATTGTTTTTGATTGTATCTCATGACAGCTGCACATTTTTTTTTTGTTTATTTTTATGCTATATCAGAGCTGCATTAATGTCTTCCTAATGAAAAACAAGCATTTCCTAATGTGCTACTATTTAAAATGTTCTCTAAATGCGTTGCTTTTGTTTCTTGAACACATTAAGCTGTGATGCAACATATGTGTTTTTCCTTTTGTTCAGAGGACGCCTTAATGTCTTAGTAATGTATTTTCATTTTATATTAAAGGTTGAAATGTTTTGTGCACAGACAGGAATCAGTATTTATTAGTTTCCATGTAAGATAACTTGTCATTTTTTATATTTGAATCCACTAACTATCGGGTGTAAGTTCAAGAAAGGGTGTTAGTTTATTTTCCTTTTCGGTATACTGATGTCTGCGCAATATGAAACACAACTGCATCGAATACAACATGAACTGAAGGAATAATTTTCATTCTTATGCACATTTTAAAGCCGCTGGCAAACAGAAGATGGGCTGAGCGTGCAAACTTGTCAGTCAGCAAGAAAACATTTTGTTTATTGGAAGATTAAGAACACTCAAGACATAATGAATAAATGTTTGTATATAGTTTGTATAGAGTTCAGCTGTGTTGATGTAGATTTTGTACATGCATCAAGCCCTTTATATGTGTCGTTATGTTTTTTTTTTTAGGTATCAGGACTGTCAAAGTGGTTGGGAGATCAGATGGCTCCCTTGCAAAGCATCCCTCCCTGGGCAATTGCTATCATCTTATGCCTACTGATTGCTACCTTCACAGAGTGCACCAGTAATGTGGCCACTGCGACGCTCTTCCTCCCTGTCTTAGCCTCAATGGTAAGCGCTCTCAAAGAGAAAGGGAAATGTGTTTGAAAAAAAAAAGAAAAAAGAAAGAAATCTCAGAGTGCAGGAGACTGACAGTCCTGTTTGGCAGCAGCAGTTCAGTTAGGTGAAGTGCTCCTCAGTGTAATTTCTTTTTAGCTGATTTCCCCAATTGGAGTGCAGCATTGAAACTACTCCCAGTGTGAGCCGGCCTATTTTCCCATGTTTGGTTACCCATCGAGTTGCCCATTCAGGCTGAATATGTTGGGTCCCCTAGCGTGGGCCCCTCCTCCCATTAATAACCTGCCAAACACACCAATTCAGTCCAGTGCCTTGTAACACTGCCCACCCCGCTGCTGCTGAAGAATAGCATTACTGTGCCTGCGAGTTGAGCACTCGGGGGAATGCCAAAGATGGGTTGCGAAAGACAGTGCCAAGTGAGAGTTCAGATTGATATGGTGCATGCACAAGTGTGAAGATAGAGACAAGAGGAAAAGAGAGAGAGAGAGAGAGAGAGAGAGAGAGAGAGAGAGAAAAGATCATTTACTCAGCTAAAAGCATGGAGATGACACTTTGCGGCAATCGTAGCTTGCGGTATGTCACTTTGTGTGTCATCCTGTCAAGTGAGTCTTGAGCGTTTGATTTAAACAAAAACGATCTGACAAGACAAAACACTGTCATCGTGGTGACCTGATATACAGCCTCCAGTTTAAAGAAGACTAAGTATAAAGTTTAAGTCTTTTCACCCTTAGTTTATTTTGAGAACCAGAAATTACTGTGCACTTGTAAGCTACTGTGCTGCAGGATATGTAATTCAGAAGCAAATTCCACACAGTAATGTTTTCTGCATCCTAGTAGTCTGCCATTATCGCTACACATGTTGTGCTTTTCTATTCTGGATATCATGACTCAGCACCGAGCTCGCAGGAATTACATCTTAATTACACCCACCTAATGAGAGTTTTCTCTTCTTGCAGAATTGCACACATTTCACTCTGAGTTATGAGTCAGTGATTACGGTTGCAGAAAAATAGCCAGATAGAGGAGTGGAGGATTTTGTAATCAAGGCTGTGATCATCCCGGCCTCAGACTGTTGAAACCTTCTGTGTGATTATTGCAGTCTCAGTCTATCGGAATCAATCCTCTGTACGTCATGGTGCCTTGTACTCTGAGCGCCTCGTTCGCCTTCATGCTGCCCGTCGCCACCCCTCCCAACGCCATCGTCTTCTCTTACGGATACCTCAAGGTTGCTGACATGGTGAGTGCGCCAGTGGTTTGTCTTGCTTATTGTGTAAATTATATGTTGAAAGTGCAACGCCGTGACTTTAAGAGCCACTGTTACACCTGTAAGACTGCAGAACTTGTGGTTATTGTCGCTTGCGGATGTATAAAGTCCCTCTCTGGTCACTGATTAAACCCGTAAAAACTCACGTCTATTTATCAAAGTTGTATATTTACCTTTTTTTTTCTCCATGAAATGAACGGCTTGCATGTAACTCCACACAATACTTTCTCTAGAACTTGTGAATCTCTGAACTTCTACTTTTTTTGTCCATCCACCTCTCCCCTCAAGCACACCAGCTCACTTATGACTCTGTTCAAACGCTATAAAACAATTCTGAAGTAACTCACTAGTCAACCGGATTCCTTAGATTTGACACATATGAAACCCTGGAAGCCCTAATCTGTGTTTTTCAGCCTGTCATCGGTACGCTGCAACTTCAAGGTGAATATACTCAGCTATGGCAATGACTGCTTTTTTCCCTGATGATGTGTCTTCCAGTGACTAAAAAAGCACCATATGAACATGTAAACAAAGTCAAATAAACGTGATTTACACTGAGAGGAGTCTGCAACGTGAAAGTATGACAAAGGTCAAAAGCCTGTCTACCAGGATACCACTAATAAGCGTGTTCCAGCTGGTTTAGTCCAAACCCAAATGGTAAAAATAACTAGTTGTTTTACAGTGTCTGCAAGCTGTTTCCCCCTGTTTCCAAGCTTTATGCTAAGCACTTGTAGCTGTAGCATTGCATTTGCCAGACCAAGATGAGAGTGGTATCTTATGAAACATGCACATCGTATAAAATTTAATAGGATCAAATTAGAAAACGTCTAAATAACGCCTTGCCGTTGCAGGCCTCCGCCAACCAGTCAAGTGCAGGTTACAGCCAATTGTCCAGACTTGACCCTGTGACCTTTTAGTTAATAAATCTCATAACTCAATATTTGACTTCAGTTAGGCATTTGTGTTAAACTAAATGTCATAATTGTGCATTGTTGATTTATGGCCAAAAATATGTTTTGTAACCTCATAGAGTAGGTGACCTTTGACCACCAAATTCTCATCAGCTCATCTAAGAGAACTTTGTACTGAATTTGAAGAAATTCCTTGAAGACATTGTGTTCACGTGAATGACAAGGACGGATTGTCAGATAGCCTAACAACTTGGAGCCGTACAAAAAAATCAATACAGGGAAAAAGTCTGACAAAAGTTCACATTATTGCACTGATACAGTCACACTTAATAGAGCAGCATTTCCATCTGCACAGGTACTGATAATGAATTTAGGAGATAACAATCTTCACATTCCTTCTCCTCCACCAGGCCAGGACAGGAATAGTCATGAACGTCATCGGCATCCTTTGCATCACGCTGGCCATTAACAGCTGGGGGAAGGCCATGTTTCACCTGGACTCTTTCCCTACATGGGCCAACCACACTGGGGTGTGAGTCCTGGTTGTGCACCAGGAGAAGATCCATGCACACCCTGCCATCCCGATCCACAGGCGCCAGACAAAGGCTGACGGTCAGAGCGACAGCATGGGACCACACAGCGAACCGTCCGTTTGCTGTCAAGGTCTCAAAAGACTCGTTTTCATGGACACCTGAGACTTGATTGTGGAAGAAAGTGGTGATTAATATAATTGGGACAAAGAGGGGTTAAATTATATAAAAATCTTTTTTTTTGTGTATGATAATGAAGTTATACTTTGAAGAAGACCCTTTATGCCTTTACAGTGGTGTGACAGAAACCATGAACTGCTTGTATTTATATCCTTAAATACAAAGACACTCAGCAGCCAACTAGACATCATTCAAAGCAACTTTTCTTGTATCAAAAGAAATCAAAAAAAGTGACGTTCATATGCTAAAAGTTATTATCCACCTTTTGCTAGTCACCTGTAGCCACGTTAGTAGCAATAAGCCATACTGTATAATATGAGAATGTAACTTAACTAAAATTTTGAGGTGCTTTTCTTAAGAATTTACATTTTTTTGCCGCTTCTGCTTTACTGAAATACATTTGACTTTTTTTTTTTTGTTCAGATTTTACACTGAAAGAATATCATGTTTTTGTAAATTATGATGCTTTTATACACTGATACTGCATATAAAGTTTGTAGAACGAGCCCCGCCTTGAACACACGCAACATTCCACTTACATGATGATATATTAATACATTCACATTAATAATCCCACAAGACCAGGGTAATTCAGTTGCCTATCGAGTACTTTTACTACTGATACATTTTTGTGTCAATATCTGTATTTTCACTGAAGTAAAGTTTTGAAGACTTTTTTACATTGCGGTTTTGGTACAAATTCAAGTACTTTTTTTCACCACTGCTGTCAAGTACCCAATGGTTTGCAAGCACATTTTTCTGAACAAATTTAGGGTTGGAAAGGCTGATCACTCCATCTGCCATTTTGCTCTTTATAGATATTGGGCTGATATATATATAGTATAGCAAAGACGTGATTTCGAGTTAACATGTAATTTTGCTCCTTTGCATCCAAACTGATCCCAGCACAGACGTATATATATATATATGAGGGGATACGACGCTTCCAGCATCAGTTGGACTTTGAAACGTGTCATCAAAACAAAAGCAAGACACCCCGCATGTGCCTCGTGCAAACACACTGACTTATTGTACTGTAACCATATTTTCATTATTTCAATCAGTACCATCTGTGCTGACACTGAGAAATGTCTCATGACTTGCAGTAAATTGGTAATAATTACTGTACATATATATATATGGTGTATTTTTTTTTTTTTTCAATTTTGAGCCTTTTGTCACATGATAAAAATAATATAAAAATGACAACCTGAGTTTTGATGTTTCTTTCTTGTTCTTTCATACACGGTGGTTTAAAAACACTTTCTTGAGTTCAGTAGTTTTCCACACACAGTGTTATGAACAGTGATGCAATGGTCTGTTGTTGAAGTGATGCACCGATGTCTTTTTTAAATTCTACAAAAATACTTGGTTTAACGCGTAAGCTTCTGATTTACCGGTGAGATCCATCTGTAGGTTTGCACGGCGCTTCAAACAATGTGCAAAGAAAAGTCCGTCTGAGCTGTGAAAACAACACCGTCATCCAAAACAGAATGATCTCACTTTCATCACCGGTCGGCTCTTTCTCAACTCCACATGACTGTTACCTGCGCTTCAAAGTGCGCACGTGTCTCTCTGCCTCTTGCTTATTGACCTCTAGTCTCGTGCAAAAAGGCTGATACAATCCTGTAAACACAGTGTGGAAAGCCACAGTAAATCCTGGACTGAAAGGCCACACCTAATGTATGCAGGCTCTGTGTCATTGTCCTCCTGTGAGACTCTGTGTGAGCCAAGGGTCAAGGCAGCGATACTGTCCGGTGTTGTCCTGCGTCATAAACATTACCAGCTCAGGGAAGACGTTTCGCACGTCTCCATTTAAAGACCCCAGACAACTTTATTACAGCCCTGCGAGCATCCAAATGAGCATCTATCATCGCGATGGGATTTGTGTTTTACAGGCATGACAAAGGATCATCGTCGGACTCGACATATGTGGCTGTAAACAGCACAAAAACCATGTTGGTGGTATCGTGTGACGGCGGAAAACGTGCCAGCGAAGGTAGCGGAGGGAGAGAGAAATGAAAAGGATCACATCAAAGTTCTGACTTCACTTCTGTTGGACAATTAAAATGTTAGATGGTTGTTGGTTAACAAGCGGTTGGGTGCATAGAGCACTTCAGATCACTATGATCTCGAGTCCCACTGGGGAAAAAAGTTTATGTAATTACAGTGTCTTTCTCTCCCTTTGCTGCCTCTGAGCCACCCACTCATTATCCAATTGGAACACATCCTCATGCATCATAGCCTGCATTATTGGCTATATATACATGTAAGGCTTGAAAAGAACCTGCTGCCTGCTGGGATTTCATTCAACTGGCAACACGCACGGGACCTCTGGTGAACCCAAAAGCTTTGCTAACTCACTATAACCTCTGCCTCGATGGCTGCAGAGTAAGCAAGCAGCAAGTTTAATGAATGACTTCCACATAAATATGAAGCGAAAGGGGAGCCGAGGCACATAAAAAAGGTCAAAAAGCAGATTTTGTGTTTCGTCCACCTGTCGCGTTCGAGAGTATTTTGCAGATGGGGAGGTTTTTTAAAAGCACATTGGCCTTCCACCTCTTCTGTATCAGTTACACACGAGCACAATATGCTGCCTGTCTGATACAATCAATCCGCCCTGGCGCATAAAGACTCGTGTTTAGAGATGGTTTCAGTTAGCAATCGGAGTATCCAATTAAGCCGTGGACATGAGTCAGGCCAAAAGCTGAAAGATCCAGGAGAGGACAAAAGGCCTTTCTGTGCATTTTTTAGGCCAAAGTACATTCATAAAGCAGGCTAAACTAATAGTGCCTTCATAATCATTGCCCTACTGGGATATTATGTAAATCATTACACTTGTATTAGTTAAAAGTCACCGACAATATCTCCTGTATTAGTGGGCACAGACAACAATGTCTAGTACATTTTAAGGCACTAAGACAAAAGCATAAATACCGATTAATAGAGTTTAACAAATGACAAAGTACTTTAGTCTGACAGAAGGACTAAAATTGGGAGCTGATCTAATACTGCTTAATAATTTCCAAAAAATGATGACAAATACATGCAGTCAGAGATGACAGAGACAGAAAATGTTAGTCACATTATTAACACTTTAAAAGTCTTCTGTATATCTGAAGAATGAGTCTTAGTTTGAGTGATCTTGATGATATTATAATTCAGTCCTTCATTCCTCCTTATTTCAACAGTTGCAAGCAGGCAGCAGGAATAAAATGATGTTGACTTTTAGTCGCGCTATCATCGTGCTTTTTAATCTATCAATCTGTTCATCACTGTGGTTCAGACTAAAACATCCCAACAAGTACTAAATAAAATGTAAAGACATTTGGTCCTCACATTCCCTTCCCACCCTTACGATAAATTGTAATCCTTAAAAATATGTTTTGCCCATTAGGGAACTGTAAACTAATGACATTTCCATCATCCTCAACTATGCATTGTAAGATAATTTGCTAAAATTAACTAATTTCAATAGTTGAGCTACAAAAAGTTGCACATGCCTCTGTTTGTTCTCTGCGTGATTACTGCAGTGCACTTCATCCAGGTGTTAGCCAGGGCTCCCCCCACTGTCTGCACTTGGTAAAGAGACCAGATCATGTTACTCCTGTGCTTGGCTCCCTACACCGGCTAGATTTTGAATTGATTTGAAAGTGTTATTCCTCACCTTTAAGGCCCTAAACAGCTTTGCTCCTCAATACAGGCCTGATTTACTGACTTTTTATGCGCCCCCTCGACCATTCAGGCTGAGACGGAGCCCTGCTGGCGATCGTCAGGTCACAGTTTGTGACAAAGAAGGATTTAGTGTTTGCTTGTAGAGACCTCTGCGCACACTGAGTCTCTAGCGTCTTTTAAATCTCTTCTTTAAGCTTATCTGGTTTTGTTGTACGTTTTTTTTTTTTTTTTTTTTAAGAAAAGTGATATCCATCCATCCATCCATCCATCCATTATCTATACACCGCTGGAGTCTATCCCAGCTGACTTAAGGTGAAGGCAGGGGACACCCTGGACAGGTCACCAGTCTATCACAGGGCTACACTTAGAGACAGACAAACAAGCACACTCACATTCACACAATTTAGAATCACCAATTAACCTCAACACGTTTTTGGACTTTGTGGGAGGAAGTCGGAGAACCTGGAGAGAACCCACGCTGCACGGGGAGAACATGCAAACTCCACGCAGAAAGATCCTGGTGTCCCCACCGGGACGCAAACTGGTGACCTTCTAGCTGCGAGGCAACAGTGCTACCTACCGCTCCACCTTGCAGCCCAATATAAGAATATATGCAACTAAAAATGATCCACTAAACATCTTGAAAACACTCTAAAAGGCTTTGCTTTTTTTTGCCTAATTTTAGAGTCCTATGTCAAAATGTTGTGCTTACATTGTGTAAATTCATGAATTCATTAGTGTTTAGTCACATTAACACAGTGTAAGCACAGAGGCATGCTACATATGTAAGAAATGGAGCAAAGAATGCAAAGAAACAAGAAGGAATTGACTCTTAACACAAACCCAGCAGTTCGTTTTTAGGTCAGGGCTTCCCAGCTGATTCATTTGGGCATGCATTTTAATTCATGTTTATGCTCATCAAATGCCTCAGTGAGCAGCCCTGTAGTCATTCACCAGGACTGTCTCCTACCATGACAGACATGTTTACAGAATCATAAGCCATTTTTAGCCGCTTCGTGTTTATTGGTCTTCAGTACCTTCACAGAGATGCAGTGGCCTCCCGCCAGACCCTTCACCTTCGAGAACGTTCTGCTTTTAGACGCTGGCGTGGCGTGCACCACACGTGCCCAAAAACAGGGTGAAGGATGAGTCATCGGACTGTATGACCACAGTTCATGTGTTCTTTGCACCGCTTCACTCGCAAAAAGGGCATTTTTAGGTGTAATAAGAGGTTGAGGCAGTGCAACCCTACTATTGTGTCCGTCTCTCTGAAGTTCTCAATAGACTGTTTTGATGAAACTGTGAGGTCAATTGAGTTCCAGATTGACATTTACAGTTCAGCTCAGTTTGCTGATTCAATGTCGCCGGTCTGTTTTTTTTTTTTTTTCTTCCTTGCATGTTAAACAAAGCAAAGACATTTTGGCGCCCAAACATCCTCCATCCACAAAGTTCTGCAGACGCAATGACGACTTTTCCTCCAGACCTGCATCACAACATCACCTGATGCCGAGGTGGTTCAGTGAAACAAACACGTTGGGTAGTTTACCATTTTGAAGATATTTAAATGACATCTTTGTGACTGTTTTTTTAAGGCTCTCATGGCCCAAAATAAATGAGAGTCCAGCCAACACGGGATCCAGTATTTGGCACAAGGATCAAACCAGCATGAGCCTTCACTGTGCTTTGTGTTCTTAATGACCTGCATGGCAAATTAAAGATAAATTGTCGCCTTACAGAACTCTAGAGCACATCATTATTGTTTTAATACACAAACATCTACCTTTATCTGTCCTTGGTTAATATTGCACCCTCCTGATATGAGTTAAGAGGATTACTTATGGCATATAAGCACAGATACACTGGAGTCTACTTTCAATTACCACCTCAAACGCCTCCTAATTTGTGGCTAAGCTGTAGTATAATTGGATAACAGTAAAAAGGCAGCAACTTCCCATAAAACCTGATCTCAATAACCCTTATCTTCCACATTATGGGTATATTAGAAGCCTAATGTTCATAAAATAAAAGCCTGCCTTTCAAATGATGTCTAATTAAACTAGACTAACTACAGTGTACTTTGTACTCATGGATCAGACCGCAACCGTTTTCAAACTCATTTTCATCTCAGCTACACACCTGTAAAGCTGTGTTGCTGTATTTTGTACAGTTGTGATGCTATTGCGTTACCCGCATACGTCCACAGACAGGCAGACATTTAAAACACTTGCCCAGACTGTTCTTGTGGTAGGCCTATTTTCCGCTACAGTAGGTTTCTGAAGGACAGCATTTTATGAAACGTAAAGGAAATCCAGTACTTTTCATTGTTAAGAGAAAGGAGAACAAAAAGTCCTTTTACTTGATTTAAACTGAGCAGTTAGACTTTCATCATTGTGAAATTCTGAATTACTATCATAAATGGCTCTATGCATAATTACTGCTGCTCTGAGAGTCAATCTATTTTTGATTATGAAGCTTTAAGAGCAAAAATTAAAGCCATCATTCAAACAGACTTGCAGAGCATCTCTTTAGTAAGTTATCAGTGCTTAATAAGTAATTATTATTTCATTGTGGAGGTCTTCAGTGTGAGAATGAAAACCTTGATGCTTTGTGACACATCTTCATGAGGAACTTTAAGGGTGAGGTTAGTTTACAGTTCAACGGCTCCATCTGTTGGCAGAGTGCAGCAACAAACCAGAACCCTGTTGGAGCGGAAACTATTGCATAACTCACATTCTTTCACTGTGAGGTAGAGACTGATTGGATTTCTGAGCTCAAAATTCAAGAAAGAAAGAAAGAAAGTGTGTTTCCCCTGTAGTAAAAGTGTTCTAATGACCATTTTTCAATCCTTAATACACACAATTCCTTCTTTCATATAACATCAAATATCTGTAAAATAATTGTGTTTCATGCTGACTTAAATGCAGTAAAAAATAAATAAAAGAAAATAAAGAAAAAGTGTAATTTTGTGGTCCAAAAAAAACAAAAATGTGCCCTTTAAACATATAGATTTTAAATGTGAACACTTTTTACAGTTTTGTTGTTGTTGTTGTTTTTAAGGTTAAAATGTCAACAAATATGTTTTCTGTGATTTTACGAGATATCTGTCAATTAACAAAACAGGGGAAAAAAATCCTTTTTAGACATCAAATGTCAAACAACAACAAACAAAAATAATGAATTACCATTTATACAAATACAGATACTGACGTGTACATTATTTATAGTTCTGGCCTGTTTCTTCTACAGATGCATTTTTTTTCTCTGTGATTTTATATTTTTGGTAATTTACCAAAACAGGGAAAATCTGTAAAATAACAGCATTTTAAAACCATTTTTCAGTCTTTAATATATATGTATACTATGTCAATCACTACGTACAACAGTTTAGACAATTATGTAATATATGTAAATTTACATATATATGTACAAATAAATTAAAATAAAATAAACTAACCAATCATTTTTGCTAATTCAACCACCATTTAAAAAAAAAAAAAAAGGTATAATTTTATGTTCAATATTTCGTACCACAATAATTCCCTTTAATTTTTTGACAGTTGTTTCTTTTGAAAGTTACTTGATAATATTTCTTTTTTTTTCTGTCTAGGAACTTTTGAACAGGTGCCTCCTCACCTGTGAACTGAAGACGACTGTGGAACGAACGATCAAACCAATAAAAGAGAGAGAGAGAGAAAAGAGGCACGTCAGCTTCGATCTCATCGTTCTGAGTGGTCAGAGAACGCATACGAGGCGATTAAAAATTACAAACGTGACCCCGTTTCCATCAGCTGACAGGAAGTGACAGACATCCTGGATTCACGTGGGCCATATGAGAGCAGAAGTACCGCAGCTTTCATCATTTCACACTCTCACTGAGATCCAGGACTGACCAGAAGGGCTTCAACACTAACACAACAGCGCTGAACACACACCGATAGTCATGGATCATTACGCACAGAGCGCACCTCTCTCCTCGTGGAAAGAGTGTTTTATCATGAAGCGGATCCGCATGTTGATCCCTCTGGGCTTCAAGAGCGAAATCCTAGAGTTGATCAAACTGGCAGGACCGGTGGTGAGTATCCTGTAATCAAACACACTCTCACTTTTCATGCCCAAGGCGTCAAAAAAAAAAAAAAATAAATCCGTTTTCCGGGGATCCTGTGGCGTCACCAGCCTGGATATCTGACTCCTCTGTGTGGAGACCGCAGCCTGATCCTGTGACACACTCATGGTTTATCCTAGTTTCAGTTTCACTCGGTGTTAGTCAAGTTTAGACGCCCAGTATACTCAGTTAGGTTGAGAAAAAGACCACGTATCGGTTTTAAAACACACCCTGTCATTTGATTAAACTTCTCGTTCCCTGTAAAAGGAGCGCAGAGAGCAGCTGACGGAATCTGGCTGCGCTTCCACGGCGTCTATTTTTGACGTTGTGGGAATTTTACGGGTCTTTTCTAGTCTAACGAAGCTCTCACAGACTGTGGAGTGAGTATTGTTAAAATGAAACACCTGGCTAAGTAGGTCAGTGAAACTTTCCAGTGGGTAGCTTTTTAAGGAATACATAAAACACAACCAGTGTTTATGGACTGCTGAGGAGGAATTTGATGAAGAAGGGAAAAAAAAGCTCAGATGGGTGTGAGGTCATAAAAGTAGGAGTAAAATCACATACAGTCACACTGGAGGTTATGAAGCCAAGAATGACAGCATCATGACATGAAAATTGTGAAGCTTACAAATCAAACAAAGTTTATTTTGTAATTCTGTGTCACAGTGACCCAGAACCACTTCTGTACCTGTTTTGGAAAATGAAAAATATGTCAGTGCCCCATTGTGCCAAGTGCATAAATGCCTTTGAGGATCACAAAATACATGCTGTCTTGAGATAAACACATTTCCAATTTCGATCCAAAATAATTTCTATAAAATACATTGTTAGTTACCTTGTTACCAGCTGTTGGTCTGGTTTCTCAAAGACTAAAATAAACAAGGACAATAACCTGTAATAACCTGTTTCACTGTACACTACTCTGTATAATTCATCCTACACTCACCCAACCGGTTGAGGCAGATGGCCGTACTTCCCTGAGCCTGGTTCTGTCGGGTTTTTTCCCCATGCGGGTGTTTTCGGTTCCGTCCCACTGTTGCAGACTGCTGAAGCTTATAGGGAATCCAAATGTTTTGGATTGTTGGGTGTTTCTGCCTTTGTTAAGCGCTATGAGATGACTTGTTGTTGTAAATATGCGATATACAAATCAAATAAAATTGAATTGAATTGTTGGAACTAAGCTCAGAAGAGGAAGTTTAACTTCCCTATCTAGAAAGAACGAACAGTAAACGCTCCAGTTAGCTTTTTGTAGTTACTTTACATCCGAACATGTGTTTGTTAGTTTCCATAAATTTGAAATATATGAATATTTTAAATAAATTAATAGGTTGATGTATGTGGAGGTCATGGTCAAAATAGGCTTGGGAGGCTTGTTTTATTATTGTTAAAAACAGAAAGGCAAAAAATGTTTAGTGGTTCATATATTATTTCAGTTTTGTCATTTTATTTTCATTGTATGGTTCTTTGAAGACATTGAAATGTTGATATTAATTTGTTTTCTGTTTCATAGTCAAAGTACAAGCATTTTGCCAGTAGCATATATTAAAAACAAAAGAGAGAGAGATTTCTTAGGACATGTTGTATTTGAGATGGAGTCATCAATTCTGCTTCTTCTCCTTCTTCTTTTTTCTTCTGTACGTTGCAGTACGGTGGTTAATGTTTATAGAAATGTGTAACGTTGGGAGCTGAGGCACTGGAATGGTTCTGTAACATGTTCTCTAGTACAATTGTTCTGAAAGTGTCCCATTTACTCACGACACACAGTCAGTTCCTTAGACTCTATACAGTCCATATCTACCTCTATGGTCTGTAAGACTTTAGGCTCTGGTCTGTGTCAAATGTGATGCCAAAGAACAACACGGCTGTAAATGAGTAAGATCAAGTTAGTTAAATCTGTATGTGGTTGAAACCCGCCACCCAATAACTCCCCTCTTGACCACTAGATTTTCTCATTTCAAGTCTTTTCCCGGATGACTGTGGCCTCGCTGATCTTTAAGAAGCATCAAAATCATTGCACTGGTTGAGGAAATCAAAGTAGACATGTTACTGTAATAGCCTGTTCTGACAGTTTAAAATAAGCCTCTGATTCTTTATGACATTATACACGTACAAACTTTTTTTGTTTGTTTTGTTACTGTTTACTTGAGAGTCATATGGGAGGTTATCAGTAAGTTTGAATTAGTTTGTACAGACCAGACTGAAGTAGATCAAATAACCCCCCAAAGACCAACCAGTGAACTAATAAACTTTTTCTCATCAGATTCTTGCCAACTTCATGGGTTTCGCCGTGAGTTTTGTCAGCACTGTTTTCTGTGGCCACCTGGGGAAGACGGAGCTGGCAGGAGTGGCTCTGGCAATTGCTGTAAGTGCAGTGATGTTTCTAACGCTGTCAAGTGAAACCAATAGAACAGCAGAACTTAACTAACCTGTTGTATCCTCAGGTGATTAACGTCACTGGTATATCCATTGGCTTTGGTCTGGCGTCGGCCTGCGATACTCTGATTTCTCAGGTATGAAGCTGGGTTTATCAGGTACAGTTAAGAGTCTTGTGAGGACAGTGAGAATAAATAAAACATCGTTCTTTTTCTTTTTAGACCTATGGGGGCGGTAACCACATGAGAATTGGAGTCATTCTGCAGCGAGCGATCCTCATCCTGCTGCTGGCCTGTTTCCCCTGCTGGGCGATCCTCATCAACACAGAACCCATTCTGCTGGCTGTCCGACAAGAACCAGCTGTGGCCAGGTCAGCCGCCTCAAAAGCCCGCTCCACACCTCTGATTTCTTGCTTTTCGGAGGATAAGTCTTTTTAACTCTGATGGAAATTCTCTCTCTAGTTTGGCTCAGATGTATGTGAAGATCTTCATGCCAGCACTTCCTGTGAGTATGTCTAACTTTAGATACACTGCAAAGAAATTAATGTTAAGCGTATTTTTTTTCAAAGCAATCTACAGTTATATTACAGATTTGTCCAGTTTTGTTCGATTAGAGATAATAAAAAATATGAATTTAGACATTGACTGACAAAAACTGAATAATGATCTCATCCAAAATTCGGCATTTTAATAAACGGTAATTAATTCCGTTGGTAGGTTTTACTGTAAAATTGCACTAGTTTTTACAATTAGTCAATCAGCACATGGTTTCAAATCACAGATATTTGCCATTATTTGAAATAAAAATTCAGTGTCATGTCTTGCAAAGAGCAGACAAGTGCAGAACACTGACAAAGGGGAAAGGTTTAGGAGTTGTACAGCTAAGAACTGAGCCTTTAGGAGAGAGGGCTGCACTGAAGGTGGCTTTGGGGAACTGAAGATCATTGGAGACTAAAGGCTGAGCAGCCAGAAGATCAGATTAGTTAGTTGACTGATGTCTAAACAGCACACCGGGAAGAATTCACGCATAAACACAACACAATTAGTACGAGAAGAATCACACAGAGACTATAATTAACTCACAACGTTGGCCTGAAAACATCCAACAACCACAGCGGGCGATGGAACGGGTTGATTTACTGCAGGAGCTGATGAGGTACCGAGCAGGTGTTCCAGCTGTTGGTCACACAGGAAGAGAAGCCATGTGCAAAGACACAACACTCGCACACCAATATAGAGACAAAGGACGACAAAAAACACAAGGAGACAGACACTGAACACGAGGAGAACCGCGACAGGCCGGACAGATGAGGGGAGGCCACACGTGACGGCAAGTTCTATTTTAGACAGAAGGGAAATTAAGCCAGGAACAAACAAAACATGTTCAAACAAGGTGGAAGACGGTGGGGAGGGAGGGACTGGCTGACTGTCGCCACTTTATATGATGAAGTAAAGCCAGATGAGATGAGATGAATGTCCATGACTCGGCCTATGAGACTCCTGCAGGGAAAAGCTGACCCAGAGGGTTGTCGAGGAAAGTAAGAAACCCTTCCAGGCTGTGTCCAAAATCCCCCACTATACCCTACATAGTGCACTATATCAGGTGTTTGCCATTTTGTAGTGCTGTCTGAATGATAACTTACAACTGGTACACCCTCTATAGTACACTCAAAATATCCCACAATGCACCGTGAAAATAGTGTACAGCCGATGGTCACTAACCAAGCAATATTTTGCATTGCGCGAAAGGAAATGCGAACTAGATGAACAAGAGCGCTAAAACTAAAAATTAAAACTAAAATTTAGCCGTTTATGGTTTGTTACATTTTATTTTACTCCTGTCTTAGTGATGCAACAAACTGTGAATATGATGTGTTTGCACAAAACACAGCTAGCGAGCAGCGTAATAGCTTGAGTAGTGTCGGAGATGTGACTTTACCGAGGTGCTCCCTACATAGTGGTCCCTGTATCAGGAGTAGGGAGTGAGTGGATGATTTAGTCTTAGTCTTTAGGTAACTACTGATGGGGTGGGGCGGTGTACTTATTCAGTGGAAACCAGTGCACAAAGTTATGTGTTTAGACCTGGATGTGGTCCTCAGCGTGTAACTTTACAAACTTTCATTGCTCTTTAAGCATAAAGCTACAACAAGCTGACTCTGCCTGCCAGCCAAGCTAATGGGACAAAAACACATTATACTGCACAATACCATAGTACTTATCAAGTTAAACCCAAAACAGACACACAAAAATAATGTAGGAAAAACCCAGTAGCGCATAATTTAAATTTGAGCAATTAGTCTCTTCATTTGAAAACGCTACTATCTGACAAACCTTCTCTGTCACACAAACCAGGTCAAACTGCCACAGAGACTAAAACTTTGATCCAGGTCAAGCCCCCAGCTTGTCACGACCCGACTCGGAAGCCATGACAGAAGAGTGAGACGCTGGGTGAAGGCGACAAATAAGCAACTTATTTTAACACACACACAAAAAAAACAGAGATTAACACAGAAAGGTGCTCAGAGTTTGCTCCGAACAAGGTTGAAAGGCTCCTTCTTAGTCATTAAATAACCTTCAGAAAAACACTGAAGTTTAATGATTCTCTCTCCGTGGAGCGAGTGAAGAGGGATTATGTTTCATGTGTCTTCAGTCGCTCAAAACTTTATTTTTGGTCCCATGTCTGCTGTTGTCATGCTCAGCTTATCATTTTTCTACCCTTGTAACTGAGTCTCCCTTGAAAAAAGCAATTTTAATCCTAAGAGACTTCCTTGTTAAATAAACTTTAAAATAATAAAAAAATAAAACAAAGGGACAGGGTGAAGAGGAAAGTACAACGTCATAAAAATTCATTGGAATTAAGAGAGTATTAAGACTTGAGTGTGACGTGATTTGATGATTACGTGTGCCCTTCTCTGGCTGTAGATTCCTGTACTCCAGTCTCTTTTTGCAAAACCACATCTAGTTCAATTTAACTTAGTAAATAAAGGCTATATTTACAGTTTTTACCTTGTAGCATGAAGCCAAAACACATTTGAAGGAATATACTTGCATAGTTCTTCCTCTCACAGCTTACAGACGTGCAGGCGAAATGATAATCCAACTTTCCAAAATCTGAAAATGTGCATGTGTGTGGTGTGTATTTTTTAATACTCAGAACAGGCCATATGTCCACGATAAGATGGCAGCCACTGTCCTCGATCCTGTCCGAAATGTTTCCGAGCATTTGAAAGATTGATCTGCTGTATTCTCTCTTGGTTGTTTCTCTCACAGGCTACATTCATGTATACGGTAGAAGCAAGATATCTGCAAAACCAGGTAAGTCACAAAGAAACAAAACAAATGCAGTTTGATGATATAAATGGGAGGACATGCAGCCTGTGATTTGTTTCCTTGTATCCACAGAGCTATCGAATGTTCAGTCGTCCTCAAATGTATTCATACCCTCCCATTGAAGAAGAAAAAAAAAACAGTTGTCACTGAAATGAGTTGAATATTCGGAGATCAAAATTGATATCACGATTCCAGCACAGCGAACAAATAGTCGGCTATTTGGGTCCAGTCCTAGTATGAAAATCCACATTTTAAATACCCCGGGTCATATTTGCGGTTGGCCATCTTGCATCCCAACATCAACACAAACTTAAAATGAACGTCAAACAAGCTATGGTTACCATGCCTGTCAAAATAAAAGTTTTTTCAAAATAAAAAATAAGTCCAATCTGAGACGCACATTATATATTATTTAATTTTGACCAGCTGTCCGCGACCCACTTTTGGGTCGCGACCCACCAGTTGAGAACCCCTGCTCTAATTTGTCTGCAACAATTTTCTTTGTTTTTTTACATTATTCTTTTCAACCACAATTCAAAAAGCAATGTCTTATTTCACTAAATTATAACTTAGCAAATTTTTTATTTATTATTACTCTTTTCAATTTCTAGTTATTTAAGTCACTGTTGTAAATTTTGCCTTTTCTTTAATGGAAGGGTCTGAATACATTTAAGGACGAGCCTTCAGGCTTCTTGGCTGCTGTGTTTTGTGATTATTAACGTGTGGATTTAGATGGCGAGGAGGTCTGGATTTAAAATAAATGAAACCAAAAACCTCAATTTTGACTATTTAACCAAGTACTTAAGTCATTTCTGCTCCTGAAGCACTCACCACACTGCACAATAGTACTTTATTCCATTCACAATAATCACAGTCTTCAGCAGGTACAGAAGCATTTATGATCTGTTAAATTATACGTCTACTTTCCTGTGATGGGGAAGAAAAACACACACACACACACACACACACACAGATCTCTCATCTGTGAGTTCCCACTTTACCAGCGCTTAATAAAATATGATCATGTTTCTTCCAGGGTATCATATGGCCGCAGGTAATCACAGGCTTTGTGGTCAACCTTCTCAACGCTCTCATCAACTACATCGTTCTCTACGTGGTAAACATGGGAGTAGCGTGAGTGTTTTTTATAGGCTGCTTCGTCTTCTTCAGCCTCACCATCGCTGCTGGTGTCACATAACCAACATCACTCTCTTTACAGAGGTTCTGCTCTGGCTAACACCCTTTCCCAGTTCGCCATGACTGGAATTCTGTATGCTTATATCATACTGAAAGGTCTCCATAAGGCCACCTGGGGAGGTGAGTACAACATCTGCACTGGATGATGATGATCTTTTACATAACCAGAGGCTCCAATGATTTACATGTAGTGTAATGAGTTACTGATCAAGCTGTAGCTCTCCTGAAGAGATTGCATAATTGTTTATAGTATTAAATGTAATTAGCTGTTGATCATCAGTTGACCACTAGCTAGCTGTTGGAGGAACTTGGAGCCCATCTTAGGAGAAAGGCTGTCATTGATAATATCGTGGCTCAGGTATGAAACACAAGATGGAGGAGTCAAATGCAGGCCAGTGGGTGTGATAAAGTGATTTAATGAAAGATAAAGGTTAAAAAAGCTTATCAGGCAATACAGTCCAAAGGGCACAGCTGGTAGGCAGGTCAGAGCAAGTAGAAACAACAAAACAAGAACCGGTTCCAGGCAGAACAGCAGGACTCATTCATTTAATACTTTATACAAACTGAAGATCTGGGGTTGTGGTTGGGTTGAAGGGTAATTTCATATAAAATAAACAAAAGCTGAAGAAAGTTTCCACCTGACCCCCTAAGAATCCACTGATTTTTATTTTTTATGTACAACTGCCACATGACTTCTCTTAAGAACTGAATTTTACATCCACTCAAAGTGTCACAATCTAAATCTACAGTCTCATTTTTGTTCAGCACAATTTGTTATGTAACAAACTGAGCATCAATATCAGGAGATATGTCGTAGTTTTAATACCGAAACTCCCCCGTTTTAATGTCTGTGACTTAAAGTAATAGAAACAAGCATCTGTACCCTGGATGTGTTCTCTGCTTTCTGAAAATTCGCCAGAGAAAACTTTAAAAAGCACATTTTGGGTCAACTTTTAAGAGCCAATTGACCGTGTGTGATAAGTGGTTTGTCCACACAAGATACACCAAACAAAAGGTCTTGTTTTTACCACATTCTGATATTAAGCTCATCCTGTAGCCATGATTCTATCTGTGTAAAAATAATTTTCCAATATGTTTTGACACTCCATTCGCAAGTCACAAAACATGCTGACCAACAACTATATTGTGGCTTTACATTACAACCCGTAGAGTGGATGTAAATCTGATTTGGTGTTTTTCATCCCTTAAAATGTCACGTGGCTATCACTTGTACTTATAAGGGCTCAAAAATGCTGGAAAAAATTCTGCTGATGACAAAGTGTGTGATTTTTACCATCCCCTACATACTTTGAGGGTCTTTAACTCAGATAATATTCATAGTATAAAGGCAACATTTTGCATTGTTTCATTAAATAAAATCATCTGATTCAGAGGCGATCAGGTGGGAGGCACTGGTTTTTCATGGAGTGACCCATAAGTAGCCTTCAGGAATTTAATGATTCATTGTGTGATTTTGTGACTGCACATTAGTTTGACTGCATTTTTTAAAATTCCTAATCTTGTGTAATTTGTTCTTACACACACCTAAATGTAGAGCTCATAGTATATGCTAGTATATGTTTACATCTGCCTTGCCTTGCTTTACACAGGCTGGTCTAAAGAGTGCCTCCAGGACTGGGGCTCGTACGTCCGCTTGGCGATCCCCAGCATGGTCATGCTGTGTGTCGAGTGGTGGACGTACGAGATTGGAGGTTTTCTGGCAGGTGACGTCACTTTTGAAGAATTTCATGAAGGAGCTTTTTGAGAATTTGTATGAACTAAAGTTAGTGTGAAATCTAACAGCTGTTTATCCCCAACAGGTCTCATAAGCGAGGTGGAACTCGGAGCTCAATCGGTCGTTTTTGAACTGTCAAATGTCGCGTACATGGTGAGCGCTACCAAAACACTGAATGGAATTCTCATTGTATGACCTGAGTCTGTGTACATGTCAAGCATGCTAATATAGTGTTTCTGCTGGTAGTTTCCTTTAGGTTTCAGCATAGCAGGCAGCGTACGAGTTGGAAACGCGCTGGGAGCTGGAGACACCGAGCAGGCCAAGCTGTCTGCCAAACTCGCAATATTCTGTGCAAGTCAGTAAGCATTTAAATGCTGTATCTATGCTAGTATCTTCTAGAAATTTCACACATTTGATTGACAGATTATACCTGAATTATAGATTATGTTATTCCCATTTCGCTGACCTCCCCTTTAATATCTCTGAGGCTCCCTGAAGCAGTGAACAGCAGGAAACAAGTGTGTGATTTTATCTCTGCTGCTCTTCACCACAGTGTCAGTGTCAGTTTGTATGGCGATCATCATTGGGAGCCTGAAGAACTATATCGGTTATGTCTTTTCATACGACGAGTGAGTATCCATTCAGCTTGTGTAGTTTTTTTTTTTTTTTTAACCTAACTCTGCAGGGTGTGTTACAGTTACACTTACAGTCAAGTGTAGGAGAGATAACCGGTCTCTTAAATGAACTTTCACCATTTCACGCTCTACTGTCTGCACAGAAATCTATGAGCTACACTTACGTAATCGTTTACACATTAACTTGAGGTTAAGGTGTGTCACGTTTACACTAGGATGACTAAGAGTAACAGCAATTTCAACTGCTCTCAAATGTAGCGCACAAGAGGGTCATTCCAGATCATATTAGCAAATTTTTTAGAACAATTTCAATTTGCCTGAAATATTTGGGTATTTAGATGGATTATTTATAAAGGTGTTGTTGTAAAATTTTAGCTTTCCGAGATAATTAAATTTAAAAAAAAAAAAAAAAAAACAGTAATAACTGCCTGTTGAGCCCCTTTTAGCAATTTTATTTTCGCATATTGACATTTGAGGTTATGTTTGAACAACAACATCTCAGAATATTAAATATAATAGCCTGGAAGTATCACTGTTTTTTTCCCATTACGCCGTTTATTCATAATATGTAACATGAGACAAGTGGATCAGATTGTCTCTGATTATGGGTGAGTTAAATTTGAAAAAAAAAAAATTGAATACACATTGGCAAAAATGCAACTTTTCATGAAAGTTTAATTATATATATGTATATTTGTGAACAAGTATTCCACATTGAGTCTTTGTTTTGTATTATTGTGGCCTGCAACTACATATGACTGAGAGAATATCACTGGTTGACTTTTTTTGTTAATGTGTGCCCAAAGATTGGACTTTTCATGACGGCTCAACTTTTCATATTTTAATTCATCCGTAATCAGAGACTATTTGATCTGCTTGTCCAATATTCTAGATTCTAAACCAACAACATAGTGAGAAAAACTGTGAAAATTTGAGTTTTTTTTTCTTCAATTGTTTGAGATTTTATCATTCAAACATAGCCTCACATTTTCAGATTCTTGAAAGTGCTTGATATATCAATCTAAAATTTCACAGATATAGATGTGATAAAAAAAATAAAAAAATAAAAAAAAAACCCTGTTTTAAGCAAATCAGAGATGGTTGAACAGTTATAATAATAATTTTTCACATCTTTCCTAGTGTCAAATTATACATTTTGAGTCTCTCTTCTTTCAGAGAAATCAGGCAAAGAGTTGCTGAAGTGTTATCCCTTTATGCTCCGTTTATGCTTTTGGATGCGACATCTGTAAGTATCGCTGCCAAACAAGATCTCGTGACTTTTTTTCATATACAATTGCAGTTACAAAACCTTTTTTGGTCCTTTTTTTTGGCAAGTCTAACCACATTGTCTTTGCGTGAGCAGGCTGCCTTGGGTGGCGTTATACGAGGAGCAGGTAAACAGAGAGTCGGGGCAGTTGTCAACATTCTGGGATACTACGGTGTTGGTTTTCCTGTCGGAGTGCCACTGATGTTTGCAGCCAAAATGGGAATCAAGGGTAAGATTTATGGCAGAGATGTTTTTAACCTTCAGCTGTTTGTACCACATTTCTCCCTAACTGGTGCTTTTGTCCCTGTTTTTAGTTCACATCAACATCTGCTTCCTCTTAAAACAAAATGTAATTTTATTTTCCTCAGGTCTGTGGATCGGCATGATTACCTGCGTGGCACTGCAAAACTCACTCCTGGTTGTCTATCTGATCAGACTGAACTGGAAGAAAGTTACAGTCGAGGTTAGCATTCAGAGGCTAGAGATCTTTTCTCTCTAAATGGCTCAAGGCTGATTCTTTATTAACTGAAGTTCACACTTTGTTTTTTCTTTCAGGCTCAGATCAGAGCGGGAGTGCATGAGAGCACCACAGATATAAGTAAGTTTACTGCTCGAGAAGAAACACATTTATACTGTTTAGTGCGAGAAATGAGAAAATCCACCTGCATCTGTTCAAAAAACAGAAATAATGATGAAAGTCTGAATACAAGAATGAAAGTCAGAATATTGAATGACACTTAAAAATTTGATTGGGCGAAATATTGTGGAGTGGAGAGCACAAATCTAGAATCCATAGAGCCCCAATAGCCACATTAATGGGAAATATACCAGCCTGGAATAAGGCAGATTGATTCCCAGCATACAAACAAATGTAATGATTGGATTTTATTTGAGGGCTGCAAGGTGGTGAGGTGGTTAGCACTGTTGCCTCGCAGCAAGAAGGTCGCCGGTTCGCGTCCCGGTGAGGACACCTGGGATCTTTCTGTGTGGAGTTTGCATGTTCTCTTCATGCAGCGTTCTCCGGCTTCCTCCTACACAGTCCATGTTGACCATGTTAATTGGTGATTCTAAATTTTCCGTAGGTGTGAATGTGAGTGTGCTTGGTTGTCTGTCTCTAAGTGTAGCCCTGTGATAGACTGGTGACCTGTCCAGGGTGTCCCCTGCCTTCACCCT